TATTCGATCTTAATGACATAAAATTTTACTAAAATATTGTATTCAATGGCCACATGAATGTTTATTTTCTACCAAATGTGTCTTGTATCTAATAGCCACTCGAGTTTCTAGTTTCTACTAAAAACTATGGGCACGCTCGTTTGTCAAATAACTTGTTCAAAATAAGTTTTTTTGGCTAATCAGAGTTAGTTTTGAAAAAGATATTATGTTTAGTAGTTAGTGAAATTTTAAGAATATGTTAAGATAATATTTAAAATAAAATAATTATAATTGATTTGATGTAAAAATAAGAGATAAATGATTGAAAATGATAGCTAGTTAAAATTATGTGAGTGGATAAATAGTGAATTAAAGTTGTGTGATGTGTAAGAATGATTGGTTTATATAATTTAATTGTATGAATAATATCAAGGATAAGAGTTAAGTTAAAGTTGAGTCAAAATTTTAATATAAAATAAATGTGAATAAATTATTTGATAAACAAGCATGCCATGAGTGTACCGGCAATAAATGACAATATTGTCCAAGTCTTGAAAATTGCTAGGATTAGGGGTGAGCAGTAATCGGTTAAAACCGAATTAACCGACCGAATCGAACCGAATAGTATTATTCGGTTCGGTTTTTATGTTACATAATTCGGTTCGGTTTCGATTTTTAACAAAATTTGTTTATTTGGCTCAGTTCGGTTCGATTCCCTAAAGTAAAAATTTGGATTAACCGAACTGAACCGAATTATTAAAGTAATTAATAAGTTTCAATACAATTGGACTCATTATGAATAGGCCCAATAGACAAAAAATATGCCCACATAATTTAAAGTCCAATTGACAAATCATATGTATAATATAATTAAAGACCAATTGATTTTAATCATATGTACAATGACTTATAATATGCAGTGACCAAACCGATTTGCAAAACCGAACCGAACCGAACCGATAATTTCAGTTTGGTTGTAGTTCGATTTTTAATGCTTATTCGGTTCGGTTCGGTTTGCTATGCTATTACAATTTCGGTTATCGGTTTTTTTGGTTCGATTCGTTTTTTGTGCCGAACCGACCGATGCTCACCCCTAGCCAGGATCAAAATAAAATTCCTTATTCCATTTTCAGTGTCCCATCTGTTAGACAAAGATGAAAATAACATTTTTTTCCATCACAAGTTCACCCAAAATACCGTAGTGCCAACTAGGGCTGCAAACGAACTAACATGAAAATAACATTTTTTTCCATCACAAGCTCACCCAAATACCATTATAAGTGCCAATCTAGGGCTGCAAACGAAATGAGAGGCGCGCACTCGACTCAAGTTCGAGCCCATATTTTGCATTGTCGAGCGGCTCGAGATATATGTTGAATTACTAAAATACCACTTATATATATATATATTGTATAGCATAGGTGCTTAATGGTAACTTTAATTTTCCACTTAAAAATTTTTGAGCCGAGCTCGAACATTTTGATTTCGAGTCGAGCTTGAGCCTCATAAATCGAGTTCAACAAACTCGAGCTCGAGTTCGAGCGGCTTAAAAAAATAAAAAAATCAACCATAAGGTCAATACTCGACTCGACTCGTCTGAAGCCTTAGTGCCATCTTCATTAAAAATGTCTAATCTAATCATCATACAAAGGTCATGCACTGAGCTCATAAAATAATCAAATGGAGAAGGGCAGTGATTTTGATACAATCAAACAAAGCCTCAGATTGCTACAATTTGCCCATCAACTAAGATTCTTCCAGAGCGGTACCGACTCACAGGAAAATTTGGAGATAACAGAAAAAAAAAAAAAAAAAGGTTTGAAACCAATGCTGTCAGTTTCCGATTTGAGAATGAGATCTGACAACTTTATTCGACAAACGTAAAATAAGTCGAATTGCTGCCCGTTCTTACACATTTGGGGGTGGCCAAATCTTTCCAAACAATTCTTCCACGCGTTCTGATTGGTTCGAGTAGCCATTGATTCCAGCAGTTAGTAGCTCAGTGGCTGCGGGGCCCAAAGCCGAGGCGAAGCTATACTGGTCCCACTTAACAAGCTGAAAATTTGAAATTCAGGCACAAACACATAGATAGATATTCGCTCAATAGTTAATTTGAGTCCAAATGGCCAAAAACATAGAGAATATAAGAGCCATCGCGATTAATTTTCTTCCATGCCTTAAGCAGCAACAAACTCCCATGGTATATATCTTTCTGGTAATGTCTTCAGATGTAATGCAAGAAGAAGTTCGACACAAGACTTGGGAAAAGATTTAGTTTTTGAACAGTTCAAAAGCTGCTTATGTAATTAATTCTTAGCTCTTTTAAGGCCTGATGTGCATGTGGCTCATTATATAAAACTAACCAAGAGTAAGCCGTAAGTGCTGAAGAATAATCTAGACCCGTGTTGATTACATTGTTGGCGAAGGACTATCACGTTTATATGTAGTGTGATTGCAATAACTGCAACGGTATAGTAAAAAAAAAAAAAAAAAAAAACATTTGCATTAAACAGACAAGAGACAAATGCAGCTTGTTCAAGAGTGTTCTCTATATTGATTATATTTCAATCTCGGGAGAGATACTCATGCTTTAAAGAAGTTTATAAAGCTCAAGGATAATGATTGAAGTGAACTTCTATAATCAATGTGAGACTATTGAAATACTTGAACACTATCAATATGACATGCAGCTAAAAGTAGAGAAAATGTCAGGCGTGGTTGAGCAACCTAGAGCTTACAGCTCAAGCGCTACCTCTCACCCTTTATAATGGTGTTGCACTGGTTAATATGTACCTTGCAGTTTGTTAGGACTAGGACTTTAGAATCCCCTTTCCTAGAGCTTACAGCTCAAGCGCTACCTCTCACCCTTTATAATGGTGTTGCACTGGTTAATATGTACCTTGCAGTTTGTTAGGACTAGGACTTTAGAATCCCCTTTCCCCAGAGACCCCCGTAAGATTAAAAAATAAAAATAAAAATGGTTGATATCAAGTAAACCATCGTGGTGTTTGAAATAGTGTTTTCCTTTTCCTTTGTAATTTAGTATCTCTTGTATTTATTACCAAAAACTTTATACCAGCATTGAAGAAAGCAAACCTCTTCATCTCTAAAAGTGTAGGAGGCAGCAGATTGTGTGGACAATCGCCTCATGAGAGAATATTTCTCGTCTGGTGGAGTTACAGACTCCTTTAGAGACTGCAATATCTTCAACGGGGAGATAATGTAGTCAACCCTGTAATATCAATCATTACGTTCAAGTAACATATATTCAATGAGAATCAGTATGCCTATGCGAGGTTGATTTACCCTAACAGGTTAAAGACATCCTGCTTGTTACGAATTGCTGCAGCCATCAATCTTGATTTGTGCCCATACTTATGGATGTAATTGTAGGCTTTTGTAACCTGACATGACACAGTCAAAGTTATAAACCATATAGCAGTTTAGAGTTCTACTTTTTCCTTGTACAGAGAAACAAAAACAATAAACAGAGCTGGACAAGAATCTATTAATTACAGCAACGCATGTATGCTAGTTCAAGATTTATTTTGTAAGAACTAATCAGAAAAAAAAAAAAAAAAAAAAAAAAAAAAAGAAGAGATTGAAGGTACATCTAGAAATCAGTTCACACCATACATAATTGTTAGGCTTTTACTACTGAGCTTCAGTGGAAGAAATTGCAAAAGGTTATTGTACCATTTTCTGTCCACATGGGAATGCACTTGCGTACAAGCTTCTAGTTCTTGGTTATCAATGACTGTGAAATTACAACCTTACCATGTGATGTGAGTGAAACAAGTGAATGATAAAAATATGGTAGTTGGAACTAGGAGACAATTCACATATAACATTCGATGCAAAAGTTGGAGCTAGTAGAACTGACCAAAGCCAAACCAGGATCTTCTCCTCTTTTAAGAGCAGCTTCTACTTCAGAATCGCCAGTGTGGTTCCTTGCCCAATCCTAACAAAAGATATGCCCTCATTATAACCCGAGTAAAAAGTTTCCATCAAGCACAAATTCTTTCAAGAAGGAATTACCCTAAGCCGACCAACAAAAACTTGAATAACAGAGGCACCCGCTTGAGCTGCAGCTGCAGCTTGACAAAAGCTGTAGATACGAAAGCTACAGTGTTAAAATGCTTTACCAGAAAGAGTACGGCAGTCAAAAGTAGGCAACGTTACATCGCAAAAACATTTAACGCATGAGAAATTGTTTGGCAGGTTTACAGAGTATTAGCACATAAAAAATAGATGAAAGACTTCATGAACCAAATCAGACATATGATGGACATTATAAGAAGCAGAGATCACAACCTCTCATGAACATTATAAAACCAGTAGGTTTAACTTGCCAGAATTAACATGAAATAATAGTAAGTTTTGATGCATTTAATCTCAGCTCGCCAGCTCTTCAGCGAAATGGTATGACCAACAAAACTATAGTTGCCCAGAGTGTGGACATCCCTGTTCTCTTGTGTCAGCTTAGTAATATCAGTTCTATCAAAACAATATTCCAACCGCCTGGAGCTTTAAAGTTTCTCAGGCTATTTCACTTTATCATAAAAGTTTGTATATGTTCATGCAACAATGAATACTATACATATAACTAAAAGAGTACTTCTTGATATGAGTTCATCATTGTAACACAACAAACTTTACATTCCTTGATCAGTTTACTAATCATCATAATTTTTCAAGTTCCAAAATAAATGTGTAACTTACCAAACAAGTTCTAACCTAGCCACAAAGACCAATTCTGAATTTTAACTGAGCAATTTCAACTTGAGGAACAGTATTAATGTATACCTGTAAACAAGAGTCATATGTGTCTGTATGCCTTCTGACTCCAGCAACCTCGATGCTTCGATTCCCTAGAAAAGGAATAGAATGTAAACAAAGGGTAATAGTCACAATTTATGAGACAAAAAGTGTTAGCTTGGTGGTCCGATTTTTCTATTAAGTGAAGTTTGTAGAAGGTCCAACACTAACTTGCCAAGTTGAAGGAATTTTAAACAACAATCGCTCTGCAGGTATGCCGATTTCATGATACAACTTCAAAAGATGGTGCACCTGAAATCAAGTTCAATCATTGTTTAGAAGAAGGTGGGACGTAAACTAGACAAGAAAGCTTGCATACATATAGATGCTTTGTTCACAACATTTTGACCACTGCAAGGCAATTTTGGTCCTTAAAAGCAACGAGTATGTAGCAAAATCCATGGTCGTGTACATCACTGCAAGGCATGGTCCTTAAAAACAAAGAATATGATATGCCATAACATATCTTAAAGGAAATGGTCACCTTACGAACAATGGCGTGTGTATCATATGCCAGACGAGCATCAACTTCAGTAGAAACACGACCAGGTACAAGCTTCGCAAGATCACCTCCAATATTTACCAAAGCCTATTATTTCACATATCAATCATCACATAGTCCAGGAATAAAGAAGATATCCATTAATGACATTCACAATTTCTAGTATCATACCTTGTTGAAGAAGCAAGCCATCCGATCATCTGATTTCTCCAAACTGTAACACACAGAATCAGCCAGTGCAGTGTCGACCGCACTCTAAAACGACAGAAAAAAATAAAAAAACAGTATTACTTGAAATCAAAGAAGATGTAAGATCTACGTACACCCTTCTCTACCGTCAACAAATGTCAAGTTGTCGTCGTACAATTATATATGGTACAAATATTGAAACACCCGTCATTTAGAAAAATAAATGTGTCCATATATAAATGTATATAAGGAGAGAAACACTAGCTCTCCATGTCTAGAAAGACGCAATAACAAAATTCAGATAATTACCTTGAACTTAGTATCAGGAAGGCTACAAATACCCAAGATAAAAGACGAGCTAACAGTGGCGGCAGTTGGCGGAAACCTATTACAATTTCAAATCATGAGCAACCAAGAAACCAAAAAAAAAAAAAAAAAAAAAAAAAACAAAAAAAAAAAAAAAAAAAAAAAGAACAAAAAAACAACCATCTAGCTCTTCCAGCTTAAACCAAATAGCACATAATGACATTATGAAACACAGCAACTCCTTTCAAGATTCACAAGACCCACCTCTCGAAATCATCAAAAACAACAGTATCAGGCACGATCTCACTGAAATTCGCAACAGAGTCCAATTCAGTGCTCAAACCTGTCCCAGTTTCTCAACAAATCAACAATTTTCCAAATCCACACTCGGATACAACTACGTTATACACTACAACAACAACAACAACAACAACAACAATAACAACAATATGCACACGTTTACCAGTGTCCAGGGACGAAGAGAAGTTCGTAGCAGCTCGTATTGAAGGCAAAATCAGCCGAGTCTCGAATACAAAGCTCGGTTTCATGAATCGAACACCATTCCCCAATTTCTTCTCCTGTTTCAGTTGCGAACAAATCACAAAACAAATCAATTCATTAGAAACTGAACAGTTACACATCATAATCAAATCAATTCATGAGAAACTGAATAACATGCATCTACTATGGAAATCAAACCGATCAAACACCCAGATGCTGAGTAACTATGAAATAAATGCAAGTGACCTTACCTTGAGAGAGAAAGAGAAGCTCAGAGCTGATGAGAGCGGAGAATGCGAAGTAGCTGCCATTTTTTTTTTCTGTTAATTTTTTTTGTGAAATGGAAAAATGATAGAGACAGCTTGAGTGGATGTGTTATATATAGAGAGTGTAAAATTATGACGCCAGGCTAAGGTACAACACTCAATGAATAAATGTACTACCTCAACATGAAGCCCGTGGCCTGGTAATAGTAATCGTGATGTCTGGGTGAAGTGAAAAAAGATCCATAAATATCGGGTAAGGAAAAAAGGACGTGGATAGACGCCACGTGGATCAGCTGATCTATTTTTACATTTTTAAAGTTCTGTCAATCAATTAAACATTTTTTTTTTAAATAAAAATACATTTTTAGAAAAAATTAATATAAAAGAAAATCCTAACATCTTATAATGTAAGTATGTGTTTTTGTTTTTTTTTTTAAATTAAATTAAAACATCTTATAATGTAAGCATGTGTTTTTTTGTTAAGTATGACCGATTGACCCGTCTAATTGTTAAGTTGTTTCGCAAAATAATTTGTGTCAAAGCTAATTATGTTGTTTATTTTAAAAAAAAAAAATAATATATAACATTTTGTTTTGGCGTTAACACACTAATCAAGTTTAGTAAAGTAGTAAGAGCATGATTGGGTACAAATTAGTTGGTCAATTTTCACCATTTTTAACTCAAATTAAACTCAACACGGTTGAAAAGAAGCCACCAATGTGGAAAATGTAGTAGCCACTGTTGTAAATATTTTTTACTGGAGTATAATCGAAAGATTCGAACACCGGGTCGTATCTCAAAGAAGGTTTACCGGAGTAAATTGCACGAATATTCAATCACAAAAGAGAAAATAATCCTAACACTCTAACCAGATTGATTTTTGGTTTCAACTAACAACTAACGATTCGCAAACAAGGCAATTCGAAGATTCAATAGCAAACAAATAAACTTGATTATAAAAGAGTTAGGGAGTCGTGACAATCGTTTTTGGTTCTTGACTCAATTACCGGGCAATCAATTGCTCGGTTAAAGGGTCTGAATTGCCTACTCGTATGGAGGATCACCTTCAATAACTATCGTAACAAGAAGATGAACATAAACGAGCAACTTATTAAACCCATCAACACATAGAAAATACAATAACGAACAAGTCTATTCCCAACGAGCCTAAATCGACCGACGTCTCCCCTCTTGGTTCTAAATGTTGATTAATTAGGTTAGATTGGGGATCAGTCAACTAACCCTAGAATTTTTACAGCTCGCATACATTGAGCAATTATCAAACACGAAATAAAAATGAACCGAAACAATCATTCTCTATCCCTAACTTACGGAATTAGCCACTCATTGCAATCTCAATACAAACATTCACAATTAAACAAGCCATCATATTCATACACAAAATGAAAAGAAGTGCTTACGCATATTATCAAATCCAATGTCGAAAGAACAACAAGCAAACCGAATCCAAAAGCTAGAAAATGAGTTCTCTACTCTCCAAATTCAAACCAAATGCAAAATCCAAGAGAGAAATATGTTTTCTAGAGAGAAAATTCGAAATTACAAAGTCTGGGAATAAGAAAAATGCCCTAGGCTCGATCTGATATCCTTTCTCAGTTCAAATTCCACAAAAATCGCATCAGTTACAAAATAGGGGTTAGCGGCACTAACCCCTTAGCGCCGCTAAGGGTGGACATCGCTTGGCTTCTTGGGGTCGTTAGCCTGTGTAGCGCCGCTAAGGCCATAGCGGCGCTAAGACCTGGGCTGCTCCGAAAAATCAACGTCTCGGGATCGCGTGCTCTCGGCTAGCGTCCCTCGGGTCTATCTCGAGCTAGAAACTTAATCATTGCATGTTTCGTTTAAGGACCGGGATGAAACTCCTGGGAACCTGAACGACCTGACACCACCAAAACCGGAAAAACATGAAAAACAAGAAAAATAGGAAGGAAAGCAAAGAAAATACTAAACACAACAAACTAAAGATAAAAGCACAAGAAACGACTAGACGGACTGGAAATACCTAAGAAACGACCTAAATTGGAGAAAACGACACACAAAATACTGATGAAAATAACCACAAAAATAGGACAAACAACCACCTAGAAGCCACAAATATTGAAAATGGAGCACCCACCAATATTGAAAATAGAGTAGGATGCTTTCTTTGAAATTTGATGCACTTTTGCATCTATAAATAGAGAGCAAATGAGGGCATAAAAAGTTCAAAATCACAAACAAATACAAGAAGAAAAAAAAAAAGAGTGAGCTAATAAAAAAATAATAATTTAGGGCTTGATTGTTTATAAAATAATTTGTTCAAAATAAGTTATTTTGGTTAACCATAGTTAATTTTGAAAAAGGTGTATGGTTAGTTGTTAGTGGAATTTTAAGTATGTATTAAAATAATATTTAAAATAAAATGATTAAAATTGATTTGATGTAAAAGTAAGAGATAAATGATTGGAAATGATAGGTAGTTAAAATTATGTGAGTAGATGAATAGTGAATTAAAAAGTTGATGTAATGTGTAAGAATGATTGGTTTGTAGTATTTAATTATATGAATAATATTAAAGATAGTGGAGTTGAGTTAAAGTTGAGTTAAATTTTGAGTTGAAATAAAAGTGTGTAAAATAATTTGTAAACAATCAAGCCCTTAGCTTTTGTGTGTATTTTTGAGTTGTGAGTTGTGAGTGAGTTTGAGAGTGTTTTGTAAACACTAGTGCATTTCTTTTCTCTTAATAAAATATCTGCAGTAGTTCGGAGACGTAGGCATTATTGGCCGAACTCCGTTATCAATTTGGGTTGTCCATTTTTTTTTTTTTTGCTTTTATTTCACTTTTATATATCCGACTTTATAGAAAAAATTTCAACATATTTTTTCCAACAAACACAACCTTACTCAATATTATTAATATAATTAAATAATATCAATTAAATATTCTCACACATTACGTCAACTTTAATTCATTATTCATCAACTTACATAATTTTAATTATTCATCACTTTCAATCACTTGTTTTACTACTTTTACATCAAACCAACTTTAATCATTATATTTTAAACATTATGTAAATACAAACTCACGCTATAATTAAAACCTAACTCAATCAACTTTTTCAAATTAACTTTAGTTATCCAACAAATCCAATCAAATTCATAATAGTTCCTAATGAACTATAACTTATGAATGTGGATTTTGTGAAAAAACAATGGCTCCTCCCATAAGCTAAATATGTGTTTGGTAGGCACCATAAATTAATTTATAACTTATTTGATTAGTTTCATGTATTCAAAATAAGATTGTTTAGATAGGACGAGTTTTTTTTTAAAAAAAAAAAAAAAAAAAACTCGAGCCCATCTTATGAGTTTTCTTGAGTATCATTTCAAATAAGTCCATTGAATTATTTTAGTTGACATATAACTTAATTTACTAAACACTTTTTATCATATAAGATAGCTTTTCGACTATAAGTTATCAACTACAACCTCGAAATTCACTTACAAACTATCAGGTAAATTATCAGCTAGGTTTATTTAACATACCGTAAAATATTTTACATAATCCTTCAACCATTGTCAACAATGTTACAATGTACTGCAAGGTTGATAAGTTTAATAGCTAGTTTATATCACTCTAAACTATTATTGCGCAATATTAGTGTTGCGAGTGTCTCGTATTATTTGTTTGGGTCGTTGACCCCAGTGAGCTCGAGTGTTACTTACACTCGAGTGTCACCTTATTACCCTGTTGGAGTCCGACACTCGGGTATTACTCTGTTGAGGTCCGACACTTCACACTTCACACTCGGGTAGTTGTTTTAGTTGTTTGTGTTGTTGGTAAGTTTAGTTGCGAGTGCTTTTTATTCTAGCGTTGCTAGTCGGAATTCTAGGCGGTCTTCTGACTTGTCCTCCCACTTTTTCAGTTGTTGGTTGTTGTGTATTCAGCCGTTGGCTTTTCAGCTGTTGGCTGTTGTGTATTCAGCCGTTGACTGCTGTGTATTCGCACATTTGTGCATTTTAATTTATAATATTATATATCATTTTGGAAAAAAAAAACTATTGTTGCACAGGAATAAATATTTATTAATATTAAAAACTCCACTATTAAGCACGTAAAATTAAGTCAAAAAGGTGTTTCGCATTTTCAATTTCACAGTACACAAGCATGAAGCATCAAAAGAATTTCAGCATGAACACACGCATTATATTTGAAATTAAAGTCGAATATAAAATATAAATTCCTTTTGTAATTATTCAAATCAAATAAAAAAATCTCAGCAGATCCCTGATTATTTCTAATGCAGCCTGGCAAAAACGTAAAATAAAATGAATAACTACTTCTCTACTTCTTTCATGTTCTCACGCAATTAAGGTAGCTTTATAAATAAGACTTTTTTCTGCTTGAATTTAATTTATTAAATAAAATAAATTAAAATAATAAAAAAAAAAACAACTTAGTGAAAAGTTGAATTTAATTTTGAGTCATTGAATAAACATGAATTAAAACGTAGTGATTCAAGTTTATATAATCCAAAAACAGTAATGCTCCCCTACCCACGGTGGACACATGTTAATATACTCACTGCTTATGTGGCATGCATACATTGGTGATATAATTTTTTGAACATATTAACATCACCAATGTGTGCATGCCATATAAACGGTAGACATTTTAAAATGTGCCCGCCGTGGGTAAGGAACATTTTCCAATCTAAAAGTACTAAATAATGATCGTATTTTAACCAAAAAAAAAAATTGATTTGTAAATTACTGGTGATT